TGCTTGGAGCGTTGGTGCCTAGAGCCGGCCCTGACTTCTATAGATGCAACACAGCTCTGAACTGCAGTACAGCCCTGTATTGCTAACCTTGGGCTCCTCTTGAGTCAGGATTCCCAGCGATGCAGGGGACAAACAAGTTCATTTCATCTAAGTGGGATTTGAACCCAGGGCTCCAGAGATGAAAAACTAGTTGAGTTACCGACTTTTCCACCCAGCCTCCTGCACCAAGATCACTGGACTTTGTTTTCTCACACTGGCACTTGGTGCTGCTGTCTTCGCTCAATGAATCCCATACATTCTCCTAATCCCCAGTTTCACTTCTCCCATGTGGGACACCTCGCTAATTCTTTCCAAGGATCAAGAGACTTGCAAAAATGATCACTTTTTTTTAAAGAAGCTTTTGATCAGCTTTGAACATGATCAGAATTAATACAAAATAATTCACTTCCACCTATCCAGTAAGGCCCCTTTCAAGAACTGTAGGAGGGAGACAAAACAGAGCCAGCCTTTAGCCCCTTCTTCCCCACACCCTTCCCTTCCCTTCCCTTCCCCTTCCCTCTCCTCTCCCCTCCCAATCTCCCATGGGTGGGGAGGGGATTAGAAACATCATAGCTAATCTCATCTTTCATTTAAAAATAGTGTGTCCCTTTTCTTTGCAAAGGTCTCTGAAAATAGCCACAGATTCCAAGGTCAGATGGGACCACTGGGATCATCTAGTCTGGCTTCCTGTATAACACAGGCCATAGAGCTTCCCTGAAATACTTCCTGTTTGAACAACAGCGTCTCTCTCAGAAAAATACCCCATCTTGGTTTAAAAACTGCCTGTGATGGGGAATCACCGGCAACCTTGGTAAACTGTTCCAATGATAGTCAGTCCCTGTTGCTGCTAAAAACGTATGTGCCATTCCCAATCTGAATTTGTCTAGCTTCAAGTCGGGCACTGATTTATCCTAATAATTATGGATGTTCACTCCAACCCCCACTCCCCCGACACACACACACACACACAGCCCCCCATGCCTGGCCTTTGGGGTTGCTGAAACCCTTAGGCCGTGCTCCCTCTGTTTCTGGAAGGACCCAGAACCAATTAATGACTTGGGGAGAGGAGGCCGTGCTGCCCTGGCTGCTGCCATCGCCGCCAACTCTCTTCCCAGCAGCTGGCTGCTGCTGAGCTAGCTCCTTCCTCCGCGGAGCAGCCATTGTGATGTGTATGAGGACAACCCAACAGCCCAAGAGGCAGCGCCATCAAGCACGGGAGCAAGTCCACAGAACTCCTCTGTTCTAATGCTGGCTCTGACACAGACCCAGGCCCCAATTCAGGAAAGCACCTAAGCAGATGCGTAACTGAAGTGGTCCCATTAACTTCAAGAGGATACATGGAATTAAGCATGGGCTTCCTTGCTTGGCTGCACTGAGGCTGTGGTTTCTGCATCTCTAAAGTGGATCATATTTAGCTACCACGCACTGATGGTGTAACAATGAATGTTTGTAAAGTGCTGTAAGCAGAATGCACACAAAGCACGCCAAAGGCAGCAGGTTTAAAACAAACAAAAGGAAGTATTTCTTCCCACAACACACAGTCAACCTGTGGAACTCCTTGCCAGAGGATGTTGTGAAGGCCAAGAATATATCAGGGTTCAAAAAAGAACTAGATAAATTCATGGAGGATAGGTCCATCAATGGCTATTAGCCAGGATGGACAGGGATGGTGTCTCTAGTCAGTTTGCCAGAAGCTAGGAATGGGCGACAGGGGATAGATCACTTGATGTTTACTTGTTCTGTTCATTCACTCAAGCACCTGGCATTGGACACTGACAGAAGACAGGATACTGGGCTAAATGGACCTTTGGTATGGCCATTCTTATGTTTGTGGTCCCCAGTCCCACAGCTTAAATTCACAGACTCTAAGGTTAGAAGGGACCATCAGGACCACCTAGTCTGAAGCTTATTTGAACAAGCTGTCATTTGCAGAACTTTTCTAACTGTTCACAACTATGTAGGGCACTAACAAGCAACCAAGACACCAGCCTCCTGCAGCAGGAAGCTGGTGGCAATCTGAGGAATCAGTCATGTTTTTAAGGAGTGAAAGACTTTTACAGGCTCCTCCAAATTACTGGACAAAAGCCAGGGTAGCTGGTCATCGCTCCACAGCAGCAAAGACAAGAGCAAGGCAGCCTGGTCTCCACAGCCGCAGCAAAGCCATATTAAGAAAACCAAAAGGCTTATTGTACATTTAGAAAGCGCTCTAGTCTGACGGAAGTTCTGAGGCATACAGATTTGGACTGCAAGTCAGAGCAGCGTGGAAGAATTTAGGTATTGTCACATCAAATAGTTCTACCAGAACGCGTTCTGCAGGATGTCATGGGTCCAGCTCTTTTCAGGCAAGCTCGAGAGAGCCAATGGTGCTTGTTAACAGTGTCTCAGACTGAAGTCTCTCTTGTTCGCAGCGACACTCACCAAGGTCACCATCCGTATAATTACACCTCTTGGGACCAAGCTGAGCTGACACAGGAGTCAGGGATGAAGTCTTTTGTGCCACATGCAAGTGGCTGGGTACAGCAATTATTGGGGGGTTGTTTGGTTCTTCTCATGCAATGCCAGCCACTGTTTAAGGCAGGGCAACAGGCGATATGGACCAATGGCTGGTGACACCGTTGCAAAAGCTGTGCCCCCACCTCATGTTTTTTCATGTCTCTTCATTTCAACTCTATCCCTCACCCTAAGCTGCCTGGTTCTAGCTGACTGTTTTGTAATGGCTACATATAGAAGTGCTGCTCTATCACAACCAAGGGCAGCTCCTCTCAAACTGTGGTGGGTGGAGCACTGACTGGCCTCACAACACTAATTCCCCTCCTCATTCCCAGCTCTTAAATTGCATTACAAGAAGCTAAAAACACTTTGCTTATGTGGAAAGGTAACATCAGGAAAGTCATGACTGTGGTTGACACAAAGGGTCTGACTGCAATTCATGCAAACTCATGGCTGGCCTGTGCCAGCTGACTCGGGCTAAGGGGCTGCTTAATTGCGGTGTAGACATTCAGGCTCAGGCTGGAGCCCAGGCTCAAGGACCCTGCAATGTCGGAGGACCCCGCAGCCCATGCTGGAAAGTCTACACCGCAACTGAACAGCCCTGTGAGCCTGAGTCAGCTGGCATGGGCCAGCCGCAGGTGTCTGACTGCAATGTAGACATACCCTATGATACTAGGTCATCACCAATGGAAAGGAAGCAGTCTGTGCAACCATAAATGTGAGAGGAGGGGTCTGCACAACTGCCAGCGGAAGGTATCCCCAACATAAACACTCTGTTAAAAGGTGAACCACACTATGGAAAAAGAGTCTGAGAAGCCCTGCTCTAGGGACACAAGGATGTTATAGGTATATTATACAGAGCACAAGCTGCTCACAATGGGAGACTTAAGGAGATTTCCCAGTGGTGATTCCTTTAAAGAGAGTCTGGTTTACATTTGTATTAATTGCACTGCTCTGCATCTATTCTCCCTCTTTCCGTCACAGTGAAAGCTTGCCTCCCCTAGGACTCTTGGCACTGTTTGTCTAGCGCCAGTGTAACTCCACCAATGCTAGCAATGGGCACAAGTATTTATACCATCATGTCATCTAACCCTAAGCAGGAGCCCAGAGCCCTCTACATTAATGGTGGTGGTAGACAAATCATGCAAGAAATCATAGGGTAAATGCAACTTGGCTGTCTGAATCCATAAGCCAGAAGGGTGATTCTGCTGATTAGTCCAACAGCAGCAGGGGCTGTGTCCTGAGGAAACAGGCTGATTTATTTAATTGAGATGATGACCTTTCCTGTTGACTTGCGCTGGGTTACACGGCTAAAGGCTTCATTCACCTGCAAGCACAAAACCTCAGTTGTTTATACGAAAGGGCATATACATGTATGTACACACACACACACTCCTGCAAGTGTTCGTTGCTACTTTAGGCATCTTAATGTGCATTCTCTGCAGTAATTTCTAGAGGGCAGATGTATTTGGCCAAATTTTTAGGAGTGGCCTTTAAAAATCGCCCTGCGACTTTTTGTGTGTATAAAGATTTGGGGCACATGAAGACTTGGATTTGTGCATGCAGGAAAAAACAATTATGCACAAGGATTTCAGGAGCAGTTTTAGAGGCCAGGGTTGGAACACTTTAAAAATCTGACAGTGACTTTACCACTGTCACATTCCGGAATGCAATCCAGGCCAGCGAGGGGCTGTGTTAGCAGCTGCCCTACAACCTTGGTTGCCTCATGATGTTTTGCTGTTGTGGCTCCCAACCTGGGCTGCCCACAAACAGCATGCAAGTCACACCCTGAATGTCTGTGTATAGCTGCAGCCCTGGCCAAGCAGCTCTGACCCCAGCAGCATGTCAGCAACACATCGGTCACACTCTGGCTTCCACCAGCCTTGGTTACTACCTGCAGGGTGACCCCAACACACTACCAGTCCTGAGTTTCCCCACAAAACTTTGTTCTGCACTGTCCAGCCCTCTCCTGGACAGTCCAGATATTAAGATTCGCTGCTCCTGTAAAAAGAGTCAATATTCAACAGTTTGCTACTTTAACTGGAGTTACCGAACAGTTCTGTTTAAACACAGCACTGGATGGGTTTAGATTAAAAAATAAAACAAAACAAAAGAAGATAGGACTTTAAGTGAATTCAAGTATGACAGATGAAGTTAGAAATGGGTACAGGCAAATAAAAGTGAAATCGCAGCTAAACATTTAAAACCTAATCTAGCAAGTTTCAGTTCAAGGCTTTGTTCAAAATGGCCTCTCTCATACACACACCCCTCCTTCCAACAAGATGGGAACTGACCGTTTCCTTGGTCAGGATCAATCTCCAAGGCCCAGAGGTGCTGGGGCCTTTGTCTTCTTAAGTGAAAGAGATATCGTGGGGTTCTCTGCCCCTTTCTTGTATAGTCCAGTGAACCTTTGAAGCAGAGTTTTCAGAAGGTTACCCTTCAAAGTAAAGTTTATTCATGCAGTAAAGAAGGTGACATAGAAGCTGGTGGTGAAGGAGGATGCATGCCTTTTTTCTCCTCTCCTGTGTTTGCTGAAGTGCAAATTTGCTTTGTGGCCTGCCATTTCCCCCTCTTACTGACTCGAGGACTCTGTTTACTACTTATCTGTAAACTGAGGTAAATACACATTCCTTTGTTTAGGACAGACCAACCGTTGCCTAGGCTGTGTGGGAGTGAACATGTGCTAATAATGTCATACAGAGGGATGTCATTACTTTACATAGAATGTTGCTACATACATTTCACCATGATAATATTGACCAGTGAGTTATTAGTTTTCCAGTGATACCTTGAAAGGCATATTTCGTACAAAGATTATTACAAGGGTGTGAAGCATGTGAATAGAGGGGTGCTTTTGGTCACAACCACAGAACCATGCACCTCTTTACCCACCTGCATACCTCAATTAAAATCATTATCCACAAAAAAATGGAAATTCACAGTGATCAAATTTCCCTACCCACTCACAATGGGGTAGTATTAGAGACACTCAAAGACTTAATCCTTTACTGGGTGGGTTAATTTCTCTATCTTCAGCCTATTTCTATCAGCCATTTTCAACTACTGCAAGGTGAAGATAGAGTCAGTACCAGTTTCCTTCATCATGCTAAGGAGTTTGGCCAGAACGGCCCTCAGGGTACCTGGTGCTTTCTTATCAGCTCATAATAATGTTACTCAGATGGGTCTCTGCAAAGTCTGACACTGAAAATATCAGAGATTGTTATTGCCAGTAGCATTTCCCAGAATTTCCTTGTCAGTCTTGTTGCCACTGACCCATCATCTATGAGGTGCAGATGTCTGGTTTAGGTGGCTAACGTTCTCTTTAGGTTTGAGATGTAATTATGTGTGTGTGACGCAATGAATAGTGGAATTTAAATGCAATCAGATTGTTACTCTAAAGTACAGTAGGTGGTAGTCATGAGCCCCTCAATGCCAACTGGCAGAGGACCCCCTACACCGTAACTCACATCAGGCCTGACACACTCATTGCTCCAACACACTGTTGTCATAATCTATATTTAAGAGGTGTCATGTAAGGTATCATACACAAACTTATAACATACTGGTCACTAATAATATTGTGTGGTGTATGTACAGGCAGGGTATAAAGAATTAAAGAATCAGTGCTGGAAATATGTTCGTAGAATGTGGCTGGGAAACAGTGCATAAGCCCAGCCTGTCCTAGACAAAGGAATGTTGTTTCAGCCGCTTGACTCTGTCACCAGTGTAAATTGAGCAAGACGAGGCCAGAAACAATGGAAGTATATTCACATGGAAGGTAAACAAAGCCATCAAACTAGCAAATGGGAGAGACGACTACTTAACAATCAGGGCAGTGGATGGAGGCTGTACCCCCAGGAAGCCTTCCTGCCTCTTGAAACAGAGACAATGGACTTTGGAAAATATAAGCCGAAACAGTAAAAAAATTTGGCATCCATCACCTGAGGGACACAAGAGGCCAGAACTCTTTATGTCTGAGGAAAGGCAGATCCCTCAGCTGAGGGAGTTGAAGTCTCTGGGAACTGACTGTAGGTAAGAAACCTGCTTTGCAAAAGATTGTAACTTGCTGAAGTTAAGTTTTAGTCACTAGAAAGTGTGTTTTGTTTGTAACTTTTCATGTTTCTTTCCCTCTTACTTGAAATCATTTAAACCTATGTTCTTTGTTAATAAACTTATTCTTGTTTTATTACAAAACCATCTCAGTGCTGTGTAGTGAAGTGAAGTTTAAATCTTCAGCTAATCTAACAGGCTGCTGTATGCTCTGTCTCTCTGGAGGCAGCGAACTTAACAAGTTCTATGGAGAGGGACTGAACAGTGTCGAAGGATGTCTCTGGGGAACTGAGGCTCACCGATTGACCAGCAAAACAAGGTTTGGACTGGCAGAGTCCTGAAGAGTTTGCTGGCAAGGCAGACAAGCTGGCGTGCCAAGGAGCTGACACATGACTTATCAGCAGCAAAGCTCACTCTTGCTGAGGCAGAGCGGTGACCGAGTGGCTCACAGGTCTGGGTGACCTGAGCAAGTCATCACTGCAGTGCAGTTTGTTCTGCAGGACCAAACAGCTCAGTATTTGTATTGGAATTTGCTCTTTGTGGGCTTTTTGCCTCAGGGATCCATTTATGAGGCTGAAATAACACAAGAGCTGACCATCTCATGGCACTTCCATTATCCAGGAACTGAAATGCAGGGGTTCTCAACCTTTTTCCTTCTGAGGCCCCCTCAACTCCATGACCCACCTGTGCCACAATAACTGGTTTTCTGCATATAAAAGCCAGGGCTGGAGTTAGGGGGTAGCAAGCAGGGCAATTGCCTGGGGCTCCATGCCACAGGAGCCCCCGTGAATCTACATTGCTGAGGCTTCAGCCCCAGATAATGGGGCTCATGGCCCCGGGCTTCAGCCCTATGCGGTGAGGCTTCGGCTTTCTGCCCTGGGTCCCAGCGAGTCTAACGCTGACCATGGTTGGAGGACCCCCCTGAACCTGCTAGCGGCCCCCAGGGGGCCCCGGACCCCAAGTTGAGAACCACTGATCTAATGGCTCCCAGAGTGAAAGATGTAAATTAAGACATAGCTGCATCCCCCAAATCACCTTAAAAAACAAAAACAAAAAAACCCTTTACCCCATTGTATTACTGCCTCTTAAATTGTAAGGTCTTTGTGAAAGGAGCTGTCATTTTTACAGCTCTGTACCATGGCTAGCGCAAGGGGGGCTGAACCTGGCACTTCCAAAACATAAATACTAAATAATCATCATACATATTGGAGACATTTAAAGCCAATAACACTGGAATGAAGGAGGCAAAAAAAAAAAAGGGGGGGGGGGCGGGATTTCTTAAAGAACCATGGTTCTGTGCTGTGTTTGAAACTGGAGCGTTTTTTGTACAAATCAGAGAGAATTCACCTCCCACAAAATTGACTCAGACACAAAACTTAACTGTAAACAAAGCAATCCTGAGAGCTCGACATTGCATAAGGTCATCACAGTTTATGAAAATATGCATGCCAAGGTTTTAATTTAATCAACAGCAGCATTTACTTCCTGTAGTGATGACAGGTTCTTGGCGGATACTGGAGTTTAGAGTTAGTTCTGAGGCACAGATCAAACCCACATGTCTCCTAGTTGTAACTCATATTTCTCCCTCCCTAAGAAGTACAGGGGCATAGGTGCTGGAACGAGCGGTGCTGGGGGGTGTGAGGGGGTGGCTGCATCCCCTGGCTTGAAGTGATTTCCATTACAAACAGGGTTTACAGTTGGGTTCAATAGCTCTCAGCACCCCCACTATACAAATTGTTCCAGCACCCTTGTACAGGGGCTCAAGCTTTGGGCCTTCCCATCCCCCAGGGAGTGCTGATAGCAGCCCACCAGATTAGACAGCTTCTTCCTTCTATTCAGCCTCTCTCAGAGAACTGTGAATCCTGCCAATGAGTGGCATCTTGGGCAGCACTTTACCTCTTCCAGGTTGAAGACCGCTCCCACATGAGGTTGGATCCGTCTTTCCTGGCAGTACCAAAGAGCAGAGGAGAGGGATGACGAAAAAACAGGAAAGTCCTCTTCCCGGTATCGACCCCAGAACACTCCCAAGGCAGACACATTCTTCAGAAGCAGCAGGTTGGCTGGGACAGAGGGGATTGCTCCTCCAGCAAAACCCACCACCACAATCCGGCCCTCCCAAGCCAAACTGCAAGGGAGAGGGAAAGGAGATGTATTTAACGAGGAAGAGCAAGCATAAGGTAAAATCGTGATCGCACTGGGGAAAGAGGGGGGGGCGTTGCCTTTTCTTCAGTGGGACCAAGTTTGGTCCTTAATGAAACACGGTCTCAAACTGAATACTAGGGTGTTAGCTCAGTGAAGAGAGAACTTTGCCACTGCACCATCTGCAGGTAGGATCTCATCAAAATTTGTCAACTAAAAGGGGAGCATCTGGGCCAACTGTTTCCAAGTTTGAGCACTTGCTGGTGGCCTGCAGACAGCTGGCTGGTCACAGGATGCTGACTGGTCCATGTTGTTTCTACCTTTGACTTCGCATTAAGGACAGGTGAAAACACATTAAATATTTTCCTACTGTTACTTTTCCAGGTGAGCAGTTACTATAGTTGACACAGGTACATGCTGCGATTGCCAGTGAGGGTTATTCACAAAATTATCTCTTTATTAAGTTTCAGAACCCCAGCTCTAGCTAGTACTTGCATGGGGCCTCCTAGGGAAACTGGCTCTGCATGAACTGGTTCTGCTAATTAATCAGAGACACTTTCTCCCAGTCAGTACTGAACCAACACCCCAGCATGGCACTAGATGGCACCCGTCTTTCTAATTACATGTGAAAAAATCAAGGCCCTAAATATCTGTGGTCAGTAAAGAGCGAGCATGGGTGTTATGCCCAAACTCCAGCTTGCAGAATTTCATTCTGGTGGCTCCCTACATTCCCTTGAAGTTTCAACTGGATACTTCTGAAGCATGCAGGGGGAGGGTACCAGGAGACCACACATTTCACACCCGTAATGCACGTCACTCAGAACGCAACTAGAATCGTATTTCAACTCACCTATGTAACGCCTCCTTGAAGATGTCCCCTCCAACAGCGTCAAGAACTACATTGACCCCTCTGTTATCTGTAAGCTTCTTCACCTCCTCCTTTAGGCTCCCTTGGGTGTAATTCACGCTGTGGGCTGCACCCTTCTGCAGGGCCAGGTTGCATTTGTGATCACTTCCAGCTGCTGCTATCACCTGAAAACAAAGGAGGAGCCAGTGTTACAGTCTGATCTTTCATGGTGGAAAAGAGCGTGAGCTTGTTGAGGCAGGGACTGTCTTTTTGTTCTGTGTTTGTATAGCGCCTAGCACAATGGGGTCTGAGGCTCCTAGGCACTATGATAATACAAATAAAATAAAATAAAATAAAATAAAAATAATAAAGGCATCTCTGCTCAGAGTGATACAATAGGTGCCTTAGCATGTTACCATAATTATTACAGTACCAACAACTTAAATAAAAGCTCTATAGTAATGTATCTTCTATGTCAATGTCTCCAAAAATGCTTTACAAATTTAAAATGCTATACAAAAACTGTATCTATATCACTGTACCATTCACTGAAGAACAGCCACCACTGGGATGGAACGCAGCAGCTGTTGAACAACACACAGCAGTACTACATAACAACTTAAGGCAGAAAGAGAAGACCAGTCCCAGCTGCAATTGAAACTGCAGGGAAATTTAGGATATGTCTACACTACCCGTCGGATCGGTGGGCAGCGATCGATCCAGCGGGGGTCGATTTATCGCTTCTAGTCTAGACACGATAAATCGATCCTCGAGCGCTCTCCCGTAGACTCCTGTCCTGAGGCACAGGTGGAGTCGACCAGGGAGCGGCAGCAGTTGACTCACCGTGGTAAAGACACCATAGTAAGTTGATCTAAGTACGTCGACTTGAGCTACATTATTCACATAGCTGAAGTTGCGTAACTTATATTAGGGTTACCATATTTCAGCAAGCAAAAAAGAGGATGGGAGGAGCCCCGCCCCCATCCTGCCCTAGCCCTGCCCCTCCCACTTCCCGCCCCCCTCAGAACTCCCAACCTCCCCCCGTTCCTTGTCCCCTGACTGCCCCCTCCTGGGACCCCTGCCCCTAACTGCCCCCCAGGACTCCACCCCCTACCTAAGCCTCCCTGCCTCTTGTCCCCTGACTGCCCCCTCCTGAGACCCTCCCC